CATCAGAAGATAATCAAGTTACAAACGAAGCATCACCAAACATTAGTAGAACAAAGTGGGTAGTCAATCTCTCCTCAAGAAGCCTAAGCTCTCTACTCAAACTCACGCAGTCATGTCAAGGTCTATGGAGAGTTATCATGTGAAGTGACGACAACTAGTGGTGTTCACCACCGTTACCGTTCTTACTTCGTCATAGGCATCCTAATATACTTAACTTTATGTATTTCTGACTTCACAGAGATCGGTCTATTCCTTGGAGGTCATCTGACTTACTTGGAGTACGGCGAAGACTCTAGCTGAAGACGCTGACAAAATCCACGGTTTTCTGAAAGCATTGAACAGAGATCTGAGTATGTTAGGCTGGAATGGGTTTCTCTGTCAAATGTAAAATGATGCTACAGGACTGGTCTGCTGCGACCACTCCCAGTTTAATGATACAGACCAAAGTGGTGAGATGTGTCTACCACTTCACTGACTTGGGAATTTGAATCAGACAGAACCGGGTGGTTGCTGACGAAATCTCAACTAGGATACAGAAGGCCCACCCGGCATTTGCCGAGTTGAGGCATCGTCTGTATAAACTGGTATGATATCCGACTGCCTCTCAAAGGACAAGTATACTGCGCTGCTGCTATACAACTGCGAGACATGAACATTAAAAATAGAACACATGACATGATTGCAGGGTTTTGACCACAGGTGTTTTCGTAGCATTGTTTACATTTGGTGGGATCACGGTGCAAGTAATGTTGGGGTCAGGAGAAAGGCACTGGGCAAGACAGGTTAATTCATTTATGAGGTTGTGAATATTAGTCGACTGAGAAGGCTTGGACATGTGTTGTGCATGCCAATCCACTACCTACCTCGACGTCCAATGCTAGGGGAAGTTGGATTGGGTTGAAGAGGGTTCAGGATGGCGACAGCAAGACATGACACCTGCCGATAAAATCGTCTTCTGTTGGTTTGAGCCGTGAAAGATGTGAACTGCGTGGTTGGCGTCTCCAAGGCGCAGCACTCTTGGGGACATGGCTGAAAACTGATAACAATGGCGGTGATGTATTCACCCCTTGACACTTCCTAGAGCTTGAATATTCGTAATAACGTTTATCTTCAAATTGCTAATTGTTTTACCCAACTTTATCTTCTTTGATATCATTCTTTTCCCATCCAACTGTTCTTGGTGTACTACTGTGAAGTGTGGCAAGTTGCACCTATACACTTATGTGCGAGGTTCTACTTTGATTTTGTGTCTGTTTGAGACCAGTCAGAGACGATCATATCTGATTTCTATACGGTAGCTTACTAACTAGCTAGCCTGAAAAATAATACACGACCACCGTCTAAAATATGTCCGGTACAGGCTTAACCACTCTTCCACGTCTGTGGTTACTGACAGCCAACTCAACTTTTGAAAGTTTTCAAGGACGTATTTTAGTGTTCCATTCAATATATGACTGGGTAGCGGGTAAACAGGGTCTAGCTGGAGGCTTGTCGAACTGTTTCTCGAAACTTCCTACCCGTCTTCTCAGTATTCTCTCCTGCGAGCAAATAACAGACCCATCCTTCTCTGCTACAGACTGACCAACCATTAACTACTTAGTTTCTTTGATTAATCGTAAGAACTTCCTACTGTTACCTATTTCCATTACCATTCTCATCTCTTCAGCCTTCGTTACCCGCTACTTTTCGTGGTCATTGGATAGGCCCTTTGTTAGTTTACATCTGAGTTCCTACCGCTTCTTACTTTGTTCAGACCAAGGAGGAATGTGTTCACAGGCATCAGTTAATTCAGAAGTTGATGAGATTCACTGGCTGTTTCTAACCGCTTCCTGAGAATCAGCTACGGTCTTCAACATTGTTTTTACTGCAAACTGCAGATGGAGCCAATCCTTTTCAGGATAAGTGTTGTTATGTACCTATAACTGTCTAGCTAGTTCTTTACTGAAAGCAGCCTTAGTATACACATCGTCAAGCAGCATTCACAATGGTCTTCCTACTGTAGTTTTCACGCATCCATTCAGTCACAGACAAACAAGTGATTATGATCCAAAATTATGATTCAGAAGAAGCGGCAATCTCCCACTGACCGATTACAACGATAACTGCTAGAAATGTGGTCTCTCTGTGACCACCATCGGGTTGAGGTTGGTGGACATTACATCATACAATGTCTATATATCTGAAGTTCGTACTGACCAGAAGTAAGTGGTTTTCTGAAAGCAGTTGTACCAAGTAATGGCCGTTATTTTTTCGTTTGACTGGGGTTCCAAGGTGCTACATGAGTACCCTACCATCTGAATTAATCTATCAATTTGTGCATTGAAATCATCTGCCACAACAACCACATTTCAACGTTTGACTTACATCAATATGCTAGACAGTTTTCGGTAGAACTACTTTTTCCTTTCATTCAAACTGAAGTTAGTGAGTGTGTAAGCAGAAATTGCAAAGAGACAACAGGGATTTTCACGCAAAGATATTGTTCAGTTACCTTGATATTTTTGATGTTAGATTGCATGGAGAAAGATTATAAAATAATATGGTGTTGAGTTCAAAGTAAGTTCACCTTAACTCTCTTATAGAGGTTGACTCATGTTCGCAGAATATTATAGATTGACTATCGAAAACTTACTGAAGCCGGTAGGGATCGAATCGAAATGTACTTAGGAACCTTGTGTACAACCATGCAGTAGGCAATGAGCCACGCATATTGTGTGAGGACTAATAATACTATTTTGCTAACCAAACCTCGGTAGGTGGAGCAGTGCTCAAATCTGTGACCTATTGGTTGAAAACCATCTCTGTAAACCAATGAGTCACACCTTTAAAACTAGCACAGTTGATGGTACTCATGAAACAAACCTTGCACCTTTTTCTCTATCCAAACACAGAACATTCTGTTCTTTAAGGAAAGCCAGTCACCACTGATAAGGGTGCTTTCACTACGAAAGAGATTCAATTTAGCTTTGTAATCTATCTCTCATAAAACCATATGCAAGTGAGTAATGAACCTCGCCTGGTTAATTAGTTCCCTAGTTACTAACCTGTCCTAAGCCTGGGTAAGGAGGGAAGGTTGGGCGCAGGGCTAGTGAAGGAAATAGTCTCTTTCACCTACCTATCTAGGCAGGCAGCACAGTTTCAAGTACAGGCGGCACACACACATCAGGATGTCAAAACCAGCATCGGAAAGACAGCAAGACAGGCTTTCCTGCATCAATCTGAAATCAGTGTGGACATCTACTGCACTGCACTGCACTGCACTGCACTGCACTGCACTGCACTCAGCATAAACTGTGAACAACATCCGGATTTTCAACACCAATTCAGTCAAGTAAGTCAGTGTTTCTATGTGATGGTTGAGAGAGTTGGCACGTCACGAAAAGCATTTCCAACAAACTACACACATACATCAACACCTGTCGCCTACTCCTATACTCACTCGATACTGAACATCGATCAGATCAGATGTCCAGAATAATAAGAATGAGCAAGAAGGAAGTGTGGTTGGCTGGCTGCCTGTCTGTCAACGAACCAACCAACAATCCATCACCCAACAAATATGCAGAAGAGGAGAGTGTAGGTGGATTGGATTGGACTGGACTGGGCATACACTGAGAAGGCTGACTGGGGATATCACGCGTCGGGCCAGACCGTCGAGTGGAGCCCATAGTGGAAACGACGAGTTGGGCGTCCGAGTCGAGGGTGATTTGGAGGAGATCAAGTGTGGAAGAAATGAAAGCTTGTGTGCAGTTGTGTAGTGAGGTTGAAAAGACTGGAGAGGAGAGAGTGAAATGGAGACGTACTAGTGAATCCCTATGTTACACTAGGAACCCAAGTGAAAAACAATGATATAATAATAAGTGAATGATGAACGCTGACAATCAACTTCAGTTCTGTGGATTAAAGAGTTGCCATTAAATTGGAATGTAATTTTTTGGCAGTATTTACAGATTGATTAGTTAACTAATAGTTTAAGAATTGGAAAATAGTTTAGTGGACGATGACAAACCTTTATACGTAAGTACTGAAGGTAACTCTACAAACATTGTTACATGTATCTCATACTTACATACGCAAAGACTCACGCACAACCACACACCCACAAATCTTTGCAGGACACACTATTCAAACAAATTCAATCGATTACGCAATCAATGACCGAATAAGATAAACAAAGAGTAAAGCTGAGAAGAAAGACGTAAAGGAGATACTAGAAAAACAAACTCGAAGTGATCACGACAATAATATATATCAAAATGGTATCAAACAATGAAGAAAATAGACGCCTGGCCACATGATAAAACAACCGTAACAACGTTAGGACAGAAAGTTGTCCTATAGCATATTCCTAGATAAAGAAATAACAGTAATAATAATTAATCTGAGTTACATTGTTGAGAAAAATAATAATGAAAGCAACATGGTAGGAAACGAGAGATCGACCTTGTAATTTAATTACTAAACATGCAAAGTATACAAATATGAAAAAGAAAAATCCTTTAAAATTTGTCTTCAAAGAGAAATTTCACACTGTTACCCACACAATATTTGCAGAATATAGAAAGAAAAATAATCACAATGACTGATGACTTAAAAAAAAAAGATCAATAAGTAACTAAATAGCCATCTGATTATAGATTTCTGATCATTTCTCCTTCATATAATTAACAAATAATGACAAGTGATATCACATGAATAGGTAAAATGATAAGTGAGGATGACAGTTCGATACCTGGATAAGAACACTGAAACATACGACACATTGCAAAAGCTACACCAAATGTATAATAGTACGTTAGTGATATTGGAAAATGAATACCTATGCAAGTAGATTGTAAGCGTATGTTTTTATATAGCTTGGGATAGACATGTAATGTTTAGACATTCGATCATTAAAAAAATACAGCAGTTTTAAAGAGAAATAAAAGATAGGTGAGATAATTTAAAAGATAAACAAAAAGACAAATACAATATTGCCTATAAAATATATAGAATTTCTTTTATTTCGATGGTGAATTGTGTCGTTTTAAATGCTTAGTAAGATGATCACTACGACTGAATCGTCGAGGACAGCGTTGACAAATAAAATTTCGTTCACCTGTATGTGCTCTACGATGACGAGATAATTCATCGGAACGTGCAAATTTACGATTACAGTGACTCCATTCACAAATATACGGTTTTTCGCCTAAGAAATTGAAACAAACAAAAAAATGTATTGACATCAAAAATGGAAATCATATTTAGAAATGAAGAGAAAGGTTGATGTGATTCATTTTCAAATGTATCAGATGAGATCTACAACAACAGATCCCTGTTATCTTGAAGATCCTAAGCAAGTAACTTGAAGTTCAGCATACGACTAAAATCACTGGAAGTAATGATGGACAGTGGTTAGTATCAGAATTCATGATGGGTATCTTGTCTTATTCAGGACTCATCAGCTGGATGTTGTTCCCACCGGGTTTCGAACTCAGGACTGATCGCTCCAACAGCCACAGAGTTATTCACTAGACCACCGAGCCACGATAGCCACTTCTTTAACAACGGGCATAGTTTAATAGCAATAACATTAAAATCGCTGGCGGTTAACTTCTTGTATTGGTGATACCGCTAAAATTGGATAGAGCTCATGTTTCTTCTCTTCTCTAGGCGGAAAATTGAAAGGACAGTTAGGAAGTTGTTAGACACGAATTGTACGACGAATGTAAACTCAGTAGGCAATGAGCCAAGCCTGTTGTATGACGGCTAGTGATACCACCTCGTTGCCCAGATATCGATAGATGGGGCGGGGCTCGAACCCGCGACCTAGTAGATAGTAGTCATCTCCCTATACCACCAACGCACAGTTCCTTAGAACTAGATTAAATATATCCAGATTGCTGAAATAGATTCCAACGCATAAACTCACCAGCTGAATAACCAACCTTTACTTTAAACTCTATTCCAGACTTCAAAGCTCTTCATATCAATGGTACACAATACATATGAGCTATAATAATTCACCTACAACAATAATGTTTTCGACCGGAGAGCATAGTCTAAAACTGTTTATTGATCTAGTGCAATGGCAAGAAGACTTATACAGCAGACAACAAGAAGAACCACTTACACCTATTCCATAGAGTTGTTTTCATCACAATAATGTTTGTTTAGTTCGACGTCAACCAAAAAGTTACCCTTATGAACCAATAAACTGACTGTCTTACGCTACGTAAAGAAATTCTCCGAGATCGCAGCCAGATTACTGGAGCCTTTTGAAATCGCTACAGCTATTAAGTCCACAAAACCTCTTCACTCTTTATTATGCAGGTAGAAAAATGTATTAGCAAGGGAAGACAAGTCAAACGCTATCTACAAAATAAACTGAAGAAACTGAGAACACTACATGGAACTAAGTGCTCGACCTTTTCACACCCATCTACATGAGCATCAACAAGAAGTGAGGTATCATGACATATCTTCGCTCATATCTATGAAAACAGACAATTATGGGCATGAATACGCCTGGGAAAATGCGAAAATCTTCCTTGGATAGAGGAAACACAAAGAATGCCAGAGAATTTTTAGAAGCTTGATATTCGGGTCAGTCAGTGGTTAACGAACATATATACATTGACCCAATCTATCAACCAATAGGAAACAGAAGAAACAACGAGAAGGTCAAATTGCACTTCGGAATACTTATGGAGAGAATGACAAGATTATTTAGTAGAAACACCAAATCACACCCAAGGTCATCAGGACAAGCTAAGCAGTCACTTCTGAAGCTTTTGCTAATGATGCTGTCTAGACTGACAATGAAAACTGTACGGTTAAACCATCAAGCTCAGAGAATACGACACTATTAAGGTTGTTTTCATCCCAAAGATAATCAAAATACGAGGGGGAAAAATACACATGAAATATCAATTAGTATACGATGACTTACCTCATAGGATGACATATTTAACAAAAGTAGAATACCTATGACTTCTTGAAGTAGTTTCTCGCTTTCTCTTCCCTCTACTACTCAAAAATCACTCAAGAGAAACATGTTCGTCTTTACACTGAAGTCTACTTTGAAATTTTTTAGGTTTCACGAACAAAATAAAGTGAAACTGAGATAAAATCAACACTTCGAGCTTGTAGATCGACCGGGTAACCCAGAGCCTATCATCTCAAATGAAGCCGTCATTCGAGGCTTCCATTTTCACTTCAATCATTAATAAATTACATAAAAATAAGATTTTCTTCGTTTCTGAATCGTGAAGGACATACAATAAACAGATATGATGTTTGGAAACTTATAAAATCATTAAGGTAAGCCTTTTGAAACCGTTTATGTGTCAGGATATTGTAATGTTAGATGTAGAATCCTAAAGGGACGACGTCTGATAATGAGACTATTTGAAGACAGCATTGACAACTATTTCATAAAGCTGTTACCTATGTGATATATAGGGATGCATAGGCTGTCTATTCTTCTCCTCGAGATACGATAAAGGAATGGTTCGGAACTTTCCGTGACATGGTTTAAAATTGATCATTAAGATAGTGAACATTTAATTATTCAAGCTTTTTTTCCTTTCTGGTCCCCTCTCATTCTTATTTTACCACCTTTCTACTTTGGTTGGTCTGATGTCTTGCTATAGTTTCATGATTTCAGAAATTGTAGCGCTGCACTTGTGCATAGGGTTGAACACTGGTCTATCCTTTTGTCCACCTCTGTCTTGTATATGTGATAATATTAGTCAACATAAAGTTTTGGCAGTTAAATAGATAGAATTGACAAGATGAAATTTAATGGCACTGAATGACACTGGTACAAATCTCTCAGGTGACTACATATACGCCATGCTGACGACTGGCAAAAAGCAAGAAACCTGGATGAAGAAAAACATTCTGCCTATTGCCTCCATCCAACTGACATCTAACTCAGTATTCAATACTCATGTACTCATTACAAAGTGCCAACTCTATGCTACTGCTATGATATATGTTGCGCAGTTTGACCTTGAAAGAACAGAAATCAACTACAAACAAGTGTTCAGAATATCAGTATGGAAAAAAGCTTACCTGTATGAACACGAATATGTGCTTTTAAATGTGAACTTTTGAAATAGGCTTTTGTGCAACCATCAAAATTGCATCGATGCGATTTAACTCTTTCCAATGTAGTATTGATGCTACCATTCATTGACGGACAAGTTATATTAGGAGTAGGAGTAGTATATAGTGTTGGTGCAGTAAAATCAGAAACAGTTAGTCCAATATTTGGTAGGATTGAATTAAACGATGAGTCGTGTAGTTTGGCATTAGATGTACTAATGGTTGGACTGCAAGACTGAGAGTCTGAATTTACGATACACAATGATGGATTTGGAATAGTTGGTAAATACCCATCAGGATTGTTCTGAAAAAAAAAAAGAAGAAATGTTCGAATTGTTATGCAACACTAAGTGACTGAAACTTTTATTCAACCATCATATAACATCAATAATGTTAAAAAGTACCATTTATCCTTAGTTTAAATCAACTCCTTAGTATCCCTAGTAGCAGCTTTCTCATTTTCTATTTCTAAAAGCAATTTCATTCTTCCCAGTCTCTATCAAAAGGAACTGCATTCACTCACCGGAATTCTATGCTGTGGAAAATGGTTTTTGTCAATCCAGTTTATGCACAAAGCATAATGTTACATTTTGGAGCAACAAAATCTTATGTTAGGAGAACTTTGACACACTTTTTCAGTAAAAGGTTTTCTTTGACTATATTAGAGTCATACTACGGCAATCAGTAGCTTGTTGTATTGCGTTTAAATGATGGCAAAACTACGAAACATACGCTTAGAATGCCATGAGGGTCGTTTCTTGCTTAACAAGTGTGAGTTGTTGATATTAGTTGCTACTCTTATTCTCGTACATTTTGGAAAACTAATTCTTTGGAGGAGTAAATACCAGATATTTCACTAGTTTCGATCACTTTAATTAAAGTTGAAGGGTTATAAAGCTTTTAGTATTATATACTAGGAGTAGATCAACAGGAGTCCCTCTGGCACGAGATTCGTTCTTGTCACCATTTAATCCCATAGACGTTTATGCTACCATGAAGAGACTAATGTTCGTCACGGTGCTGTGTTCTCTGAGCTGCATGGCTTAATCGTGAAGATATCAGGAAGAAGTTTGTGCTGATGATGTTTTCCAGACTAACAATGAAAAAATTTACGACTAAACCTTGCAGCTCAGAGAACACAACAGCATAAAAATCCTCCTCCTGAGCTACAAATATTCTCCATTATTAAAAAACCTCATGAGCTTCAAACGCTTCTCATTGTTCGGAAGTGGGAGTACTTCGCTAACTGAAAAACTACATTTTCTCTACCAGTGACTACGTCAGCATGTTCTGTCAGCTAGTATCAGATTCAGACCACTTATCAACATATCCAATCGGTTGGAAAAAAGTGGGAAGAAGTGGGAAACAGGTAGTATAGCTAATGATCACCGATTCTCATTATCAGATGCAGAAGTACCAACAGACTATAGACAACCAAAAGAGGTTCCAAGAGATACTCACAACAGAATACTTTACAATGTTCGCAACCGACTGAAAAATCAAGCAGACGACACAAAGAACAGAGAAGAAGCATCTTTCGAAAGAAGCTAGTCAAAATTTCAAAACCACGACCATAGGAATAGGCAGAAGCAAATGACTGTTTAGTCAACCTGTCCAACATAACCTCTGACCTAGTTCGAGCAACTCCTTCAGACAGGACTAGACTCATTTTCCCTTGAAGATTAGGATTGATGTTACTTAGTTCTGAAGTCAGAAGTTTTATCAGTAAGTTAATCAGAGTAAGCACTGAGTTAACTGACAACTTTGCAAACTTGATCGCCAGACTGCAATTAACATTACGGATATGTCAGTCACACTAGTCACCAATCCGTGCGAAGCTTGAAGTGAGACAGTATCTAAACTAAATGATTCCACTCGAAGTTAATGACAAAAATCAATCAAAAACATTGAAATATTGATAGGTTTAGTCAAAGCATAATAGCTGATGAAAGAAGCGACAAATACATATGCCTCTTGAGAAACAGGATTAAATTTACACGCAGATGCACTCTGAATAACTCCGTGAGCATCTTTCAGTTACCTGTGCCAATACTAGTTAGGTGTAGGAAACTGGTGGCTTTACAAACAATCAAATACCAATTTCTTAATACAGTTCGATAGAAGTGAAAAAACAATCCCCTCCCCTCCCTAGCGGATTTCAGCAACAAAAGTTCCTCACCAGGCTTTATAAGGAAGCTATGCCGTTTTCTTTATTACAAAGTAAATCACATTGTTTTAATGTTGTTATGATACTTGTAATTTCCCGTTGCAATACAGGTTCAAATTCCTCGACCTCTGTTAGCAGATGGGCTCCTACGTGGAGGTCTCGATACTGTCGATTATTCATGATGTTATACTGATCTCGGTGATTAGCAGAGGAATTCAGAACGCGCGTTTCATCCTATTTGAGACTTGCCAGCTGGATGTTCCCGTGTACAGAACTTTCACTATTCGGTCATCTGATTCCAAGATTTTCTGAAACGATGAGCTACTACATACTACCCGAATACACTATTGTCAGTAGTATACACCCCAGTTGAAGAGATATAATGTAGCGAAATGGAACCTGCCATATCTGAGTAGTATCTTAAGCCTAGATTCTACAATCTTAAACCTATCTGTACTGAAAACTGTACAAAAATATACATAGTCATCAACTTGATGAACAAGAATGATGAGAAATTTCAGACGTGAAAGATCTGTCTAAACCGAGTAACGTGATTTGCATCAAATGCTTGAAAACCTGACAAATAAGATGCAGTGATCATTATACATCTAGAAATTCCAGTATGTCACACACGACATACGCTTGAGGAAAACAATCACTTCAGTCAAACAACAAAATAAACCAACTATACACCAGGTTCAACTATATTTCTTATAAAAAACTTATGGTTCACCCAGGCGTATGAATGGCCCATTTCAGTTATACATCTATACATCCAAAAGACATTGAATATATGGAGTAGAGGTTTATCTATGATCAAAACAAAGATTATTTGGCTGATAAACATCCTGTTTCTAAAATGAAAGAACAATACATTCACTACTAAAGTCAGAAGTAAGAATTAACAATCATTTGAAAAAAACAAGGTGAATAAATATTTATCGAAAACATCAGATATGTAATCTTAGTCATGTTTGCCTACACTGAAAAAGAACAAATAACAGACAGATAAGACCAGCCAGCAGTGGTGGGTGTTTACACAATGAAAGAATTTGATTGGTGGATTATCAATCCAATAGCTGATCCTAATTAAAACTTGATAGAATGCAAAGCTGATAGCCTACTGGTTACAAATTCAATTGCAAACTTTGTGCTCCTCTAGGTTTAGTTATTCTTGTAGAAGTCCGCAAAACATTTATTTGGAGGTGGCTAACGGTGAAATTCAGGATGTGCGTTTCGTCCTATTTATTTGAGACTCATCAGCTGGATACACCTGCACCCCAGTGGGTAGTGGGGTTCCTACTGAAACTAAAGCCTACACCTATCGTGTCAAACACTACAATGTTATTCACTAGGCCAATTGAAGCACGACAGTCACCTCTTTTGCAACGGTTATCCGTTATTATTTATTGTTAACAGAGGTAAATCAATTCCATTTAATAAAACAACTGGAAATTACAATTATCAATAAATAATTCTCCAATTTACCAAGAAAATGAAAGTGACAAAAATGCAGTACTTACAGACAATAAAGTTTCTGCTGATCTGTTGTCAAGCATTTGATGATGAGAAAAACCAATTAAACTTTGTCGTAGAAGTTGGGAATCAGAGCTAGATGATCGAACCGTACTATTTTGATGCATAAGACCTGTAAGATCAGAGTTTGTTCGAAATATTCGTTGTGAAGTGTTTTGTTCGTTAAATTTACACAAATCAACGCTCTGATTATCATCATTACTGTTATTTTCTCCATAACCAGAAGATACTGAAGGAGAGAGTTCATAGTCATCTTCGAGGGTGAAATTCACCCGATTACTGGAGCGATCAGTAGTAGTAGTGGTAGTAGCAGTATTAGTAGTAGTTAATGTTTGTTCGATTACAAGTAACTGGTTACTGGATTCTTCAACAATTGGGATTGATGTACGATTGCAAGGATAACCATTGGTTTTGTGGGTTGTCATGGACGGGAGGAATGATGATTCACAAGTACCAAGATTAGGAAAATAACAAGGGATAGTACTAGTTTCATTCGACCAATTGGTGTTGAACTCATTCATGGATGCTTGACTATAGGAAGGCTCTTGATTCTTTTGTAATGTTTGGGAAGTAGGCATATATGACACCTGGATGTTTTAAATTACATATTAAATAGATAAAGTGAACAAACCAATACAAGAAAATATGAGAAATATTTGGTTATTATGAAAAATGGATTAATTGATTACAAATTACTGTCAACTTTATCGAATTCAACAACGATGTGTACTTTTATACTGTACACAGTAACCCATACCTATTGCTTGATAGTCAGTAGGTGGAGCAGGGTTTGGACCGCATGCTCATTGAACCAATCAAAATTGGTTAATTACCCTGCTCATGTCACCTCCAACAGTATTAAGGAATACACATGCACTTGTGGCGTAGCAAGTACATTGGAAGGACTGAGAGAGGGGTATCCATTTGGTTCATTGAGCATTTGCCTAAGAATATGTACTTGAAAAGAAGATAAATTCTAACTATTGCATTTGCAAGACACCTCATAGACACAGGATATCAGGTTGGAACCTCGAGTGCTTCCAGATGTTTTAAATGAAACCAGTGAAGTACAGATCACAGGTCCATGAAGTTGTAGCGCACTGCTTCAAGTACTGACTTTCAAAAAATGTTTCACACATATTCAAATTCCACCATACACATACTTCAGCCTTCAAGAATTAAGTATCGCTGACAATGAAGGGTATATATCTACACCAGTTCTCAAAGTTGCATTATCACATCACAGATCTAATTATGTAACATATAAACATAGCTTCTGACACCTATCCAACAGTGGAAACTCCTACCTTACCGGAATAAGTTAAATGGCGGTGTCAAGGTTTAGTTAGACCAAATCCTAGGTTTATTTGTATTTCTTTTCAATATCTCTGTACACAAATTAGATAAATTATTTCCATTCTGTTGCTTGTACTTGACTATATTTAGGTAAAAGCGTCAAAGGGAAAGACTATTTAACGTCAGTTATATCACAATCAGTATGCCAATAGTCAGCTGTTTTACCTCCAAAGTACCTAGAACAGTTTTGACAATAATTTTGTAAAGTCGAACAAAATCGACAGCTGTCAACAGACAGGGAAAAGGTTTGCATAAAGCAGACTATCCAAATCGGTGATAGTACCAGAGAACAGTCTTCTATCATATCATAAAAAGATATAATATTGCCTCAAGTATACACCTTTGGTTTGCTTATTAGTGACTGAGGATAACTGGCTAAGGCATTAAACTTTCAATCGATGGATCATGGGTTCAAATCCTGACCCACTTAACAAGTTTCAGGCAAAGATGGATGTGACTTATTAATGGACGCCTCTGCGGTTGCTGAGACGATTTATTTTTACTGTTTGTCGGTTTAGAACTTATACAACACTCCAAACTGGTATTCTGATGTCACTAAGAGTGTATCAGACATAGTTCCTTCGATCATCGTGTAATAGAAACTTACTGAAAAATAACATCACTGGTTGTTCAGTGTCATTTGTCGGTTACTTGTAGCAACTAAACAGAAATCTAGTGAATAATCGTCAAATCAAGAGGTTAATTTAGATGCTTGTGTGGTTGATGATTGCAGGCAAGCACGAGACTTACGTTTAGGTCTTGTTGTCACCTGGTTTCTGACACTAAACACCAATATACAGTGTACCACACTGTCATATCATTCTGTTTAGTGGTCGTCTTGGGAACTTGATCCATAGACTTCAGTCAGCACTAAGGAATTGACAGCTTCATTAGTTATTACATACACCATCCAGTTTTACAGATGGTCATTTGTAGTTTGAATAGCTTAATAGTAAAGCTTCTGACTTTAAAACTGAATGATTGATGCCTGAGTCTCCAAGATACGCCTTGTCAATGTGTGCCAACCAGGATGAAAGCTGGCTTATGCAGGGATTTTAGTTGACTGATTCACAGCACCTAGTAGTGGTATATTTTATCTATCTGCTATACAATTTAATATTAACATGCTAGACAATATTCTTGTGGATTAGTTTTAATTTCCGCTAAAGTGGCAATGAAAGCTTATCAATAAATAGGAAAATATATGCAGTCTGTCAACTCATGATATAGCCCAATCAAATAGAGTTATGAGTCCTGAACCAGGACGAAACAGCTATCTAGTACACCTGATGGTAGTCTGTAATGAAACCTTTAAAATCAATCAGTCTTCATATTATCACCAAGTTGAATAACAACCCAACCACCACTAGTGACTAGCTATGAGATGGAATGAATAAAATTCCAGTGCGAAGTTATGCCTTTTGAAGTCAACCAAGTCAAGTGTGAGGATAGAAACCTGTTGGGGAACAATGTATGACGGTCATGCTGTCAAGAATTGATATAGAAGTGGGAAGGTGCAGGTGATTGGATTCAAATCGAGTATCTGAATGACAGCGTGATCACCACGAGACCTCATTGTCATGCGTGCACTTTTCTAAGGAATCCTATACTACAACGAAATAGCAGTCCTATGATCCTATATTTTCAATGATTCTTCAACTGGTGTTAATGCGTGAAGAAAATTGCATAGATGGATGACATTATCTTTCATATGATTTACTTATTCCTGAGAAATATTAGTGTGATTGAATATCTAATTTAAAAGTAGAATCCTGGTTTGCTTATTTAGGGAGAATAAAAGAATTTACTTACAATTAACTAATTTGATCAGCATAGCAAGTCATACAATTATACATCAACTGAAATCACTACACAGTGAGCAGAAACCAATACGGTGGATGAGTTAATAATAATAATAATAATAATAATAATAATAATAATCCAGGAAAAGAAAAGTGCGAAAACATTAAAAACAAACAGGGTTACGAATAAATTGACTATTCATAGTAAGGTGGAATGTGAATGAATATATATAAGCTGTTGGTATCATTTTTTATTTATTTCATGGGAGGTGTTCTAGCTTGTAGTATCTTGTCACTGATTAGACCAAACTGATAGAGCCATATTGGTAATATGAGCTCCAGCGTAGACAACTTGATATTGCCAGTAATTTAAGTCTGATAGTAATGACAGGTAATGGTTAGAGAACTCATTTGTATATCAGTGAATGACGTTTTTCCCACTGATAAGACACTATGCATTTATTATTATTATTATTATTAGTCCCTTGGGTTCCTAACAGAACATAGGGCTTCAGTAGCACGTTTCCAGTGACCCCTGTTCTCTGAGATCTTTTGAACCTGGTTCCACGACAGCCCACAACCTTTCATTTCCTCCTCGCACGACCTCCTCCATGTCACCCTCGGACGTCCAACTCGTCGCTTCCCATGGGGATTCCACTCGAGGGCCTGACGCGTGATGTCCTCAGTCGGCCTTCTCAGTGCATGCCCAATCCATCTCCACTTCCTCCTGCATATTTGTTGCGTGATAGGTTCTTGGTTGGTTCGTTCCCAGAGTTCCTTGTTGCTTATTCTTTCTGGCCATCTCATCTGATCTTCAGTAGCGAGCGTAAGCAGTTGTTGATGAATGTCTGTAGTCTGTTGGAAGTCCCTTTCGTGACGCGCCAAGTCTCTGAACCATACAGAAGCACTGACTTGACGTTGGTGTTGAAAATCCGTATCTTGTTCCGCATGCTGAGTGCAGAAGATCTCCACACTGATTTCAGGCTAATGAACGCCACACTATGCATGGTAGATCTAAATTCTCATATCTTACATGCTCTTGTAATCTTAAAAAGGAAACCTATAATATAAATATGTGAATGACTCCAATCATTGATTTATCTGCTCAACGAAAAATTTGTTCGTTAGGTGGTCATACTTTGAAAGCATGGACGGTTAAATACTACTAATTAACCTGATAAAAATTACATCTTACAATCATCAGAACTTGAATTTAAGCTACATTTGGATACGAAACAGAAAAACAGCCTCATATTTATGTAGTGGTAAGAAATCATTGGATTTCTAGTGACGTTCACTGTGATTTATCATTAACTGTACATTTTATTATGTTTACAAAACAATATTGTCTCAGTAAAGTGGATTCGGGTCTGAGTGGGAACAACATCCCTTACTGGAAAGCAAGTACTCTCGGCTAACGAGTCCCCAAAAAAAGGACGAAACGCACGTCCTAGATTCCACTGCTAGCCACTACCCATTACTACTACTATTATTATTATTATTAGTAGTAGTAGTAGTATAGTGGTATTATTATTATCATTATTATTATTATTATTATTATTATTATTATTATTATTATTATGGCAAACGAAGAGTAACTCACTTCTTTTAAATTAACATTATTCACATCTGATGGTTGTTGGTGTTGTTGCAATTGTTTAAAATCAGGTGAAGACCTTGTTGACCGCATAGTACTTGATGATTTAATCCGATGAAGTTTAAATTTAAATTCCGAAGTAAGTTTCTATCTAATAATGTTAGATAAGATTTTGTTGCATTGTTCTGTTGTTCACTGAATTTTATCTCTTCTGTAATTGATTCTTTTAGCCTATTTCTATGATTTTCAAAAAGTGGGATGTTTCATTCATTGATGGTATATCTTGTGTAAATACTGACCAATTAGAACATGGTCCTTGGGCCAGTGATAATAAAACTTCAGCAGCCTGCATTTCATTGATCTGTAATGCAGAAATAAAGATGATAAATGCAACTTAAGAGAACCCCACACAAATTGGTGGAGTGACTCTAAAGATCACCCTTACAACTACTAAAATAACCAATCATATTTGGCATTTGAGATGAGAAGGTAGCTTTTCACTAAATAAACGCAGTTGGTTATCTAAACAGTTACTAAGGTGGTCTTTAGAGTCCCTCAAATTGGTGCATAGGTGTATAAGCATCATCGACTGTGATTATTCGATAGGATAGGCTCGAATCAACAGGATTGAAGAATAAAAGTCAATTCCTTAAAATAATAAGTAGAAGCCCTATGAAATAACACTATGAGAAGTAGGTCAAGTGTGATCTGACTACCTGTTCTGTCCTAATATACGACTGCGAGACGTGGTCGTTAAAAGTAGATATGAAACAGTTATAGGTTTTTTAATCACAGGTGTCTTCGTAGCATTGCTCGCCCATGGTAGGACGGCCATGTGAGCACTATAGAGGTTAGACGAAGGGTACGAAGTACGGAAGGCAAATCGATCGATAGGGTGATGAAGCTTCAGTGAATGAGGTGGCTTGAACATGTGGTGCTCATGACAAGCCACTGTCTACCTCAACGTGTTACTCTGGGAGAAGTGGAATACGTTAGGAAATGATTCAGAGTGACCAGACCAAGACGTGAGTGGTGCCAGTCGATGAAGTCTCGGACTCTTGGTGCATCAGTTGTCACAGGCCATTTGGTAAGTTGTAATTCGCTTGGTTATAGCTTACAATGAGAATTTAGGAGGACTCGTCAACTAAATGTACCTGCCTCCCAGTGGGTGATCTTTTCCCCACTGAGTTCTTGGTTCTTGGATCGCTATTCTTTATCCCAGCTCAGCTTGACACAAGTTAACTTCCAATTTTAACAAACATTTATGGGTGCTACAAAGTAACCATAAAATTTTTAGAAGGATAAAATGCTTTTCCGACTTTATAAGGAATATTTACATGCTATACATAGGCTACTGTAGTCAGTTTACGAGAACCAAGTCATATGTGAAACTTCTGATGTCAATTATTAAAGTCTTATAAGTAAATGTTAGTCATATGGTAAAATTACCTGTACACTTTACCTACCCTTATTATGTAACATATTTATTCATAGTCTGATTTCGTCTGAAACTGTTGGTAATCTTATCGTTGTGACACCCAAAGTTAATGAAACTCTCAACAACCAACAGGAGGTCGTTACTCAAATAGCACCCCACTGAAGTTATAAGCCTAGATCGACAAAATCTGACAACTTATCAGGATAAATTAAGTTGTTTCACAGACATCTACTCTCGGTGAGAGATTTGAACTAGAAGATATCCAAGAAACTAGATATCTTTAGTATTTGTAAGGGTTTCATCCGAAGATACACAAGCAACCGACCACATACGCCGTCTTGTTTACTGATTAGACTTCGCTGTTGCAGCGGTAACGTCACTGGGTTTCTGTCTAGTATAAGTATGTGAGTTAACACGTCTGTATTTCGAAAACTGTGGCAACCTAGATTATTCTATAAACATTTATTCATCTGCCAAACACGGCTGTTAGATGCTGCAATGATTAACTGTTTTTATATTGATGAACATTATCAGAGTATAACGTAGCAGATAGTACTTTCCTTATTTAATTTTAATTACATAAATATACATCAAGGGAATTAATGTTTAAAATACTTAAACCTTAAATACATAAACACCCAAAATGAACTAACCTTATCGAATTCTGATTCCATCCTTGCTGTAGGTAGACACAGAGATTCATAAGCTATGCCCATATCGTATGTAGTTTTGGAAACGATACCTATATTTTTCAGAGAAAATTTCTCAGATGAAGGTATTTATACAAAAACAAGTTTGTTTATGATTTGGCACACCCGATTACGTATATTATTAAAAATTAGTTGACCAATGAGTACACTGGCTAAGGACATCAAGCTTAATTGTTTTCAACCTATCATGGGTAAGTCAGCTGGCAGTCACGCCTTAAGGGTATGTTGATTACGTGATAAATGTACCCTTGAGATGGTCAAGGTCAAATGTTCTGACTTTAAGACTACTTTTTAATCATTGGTTAATTGTTTGTGGGCGTGTCATTTGATGATCACGCTTGTAAGTCGTGATTACTTTATTATACCAAGTTTAAAAAAATACGTGATCGTAGCAACGAGTGAATTACGTTTTACTTTTTCCGCTGTGGTATAGTGAAATGAATATTCTGTAGACTGTATCATGTCACAGGTGTACAGTAAACTACATATTTTATTTAATTAACATTACTACTATTTTGCCTCTGTGAGCATCACAAATTTCCTAGGAGAAGCTTCTCAACGTTATAAATATCTGAGAAAAATCGAAATCGTTTCGGTTATTCATCATCTATATGACTGAAGAAGTTATCTCATAGTAACATTAATTTTCAGAGGCCTAGAAGTGCACTATAAATAAAGATCGAAGTAACACACACAAGTTATATATATTGGGAGGTGATTAAGGGTGAAATGAAAATGTGTGTTGCATCAGGATTCCAACCGGTGACCTCCAAGTTACCAGAGCAGTGCTCTACTAACTGAGCTACGATATCCAGTTGCTGGTCAGATCTTAATTCCACCCCAATCACTCCAATTCCTATGCTCACTCCAACTGTACAGTAAGATAGTTATCGCCTAATTAGCCTAGTCTATAGTCTCTGAGTGCTGAGTGATGTGGGCTCGAGCAAAACTTTTGCAGGTTGAAGGCAAACACAATCCAGTGTATCATGTAGTGTAGTAGACATTAAAAAATTTAGTTGACAGGTTTGACCAACTTCACAGGTTCCAAGTTGCAGACCAGTTCATATGTACTACTTTAGGTTCCCTTGCTATACAAACTACACAAATTAGAAACAGACTATCCAGCTCAATAATGAAGTCCTCGCCTGTAACATTGATCAAATCAAACTAATGTTTAATAATGTTATCCTGTTAATGAGGTTTGATGTCAACTGACAACCTAACGTTAACCATTTTTAGTCAATCTCTCCTGATAATTTGGGTGGTTGTGGCTAACAGAAGAAGTACGAATGGTAGATCTAAAATTTCATATCTTACATGTCCTTGTAATCTTAAACAGGAAACCTATAATATAAATATGTGAATGACTTCAATCACTGTTTTATCTCTTCAAAGAAAAATTACAACGGAGAATAACAAGTATTTCAAGTTTTTATTCATCGTAGACTGACATCAGTTGGAGGAACAAAGGAAACCTGGGAGCACTGGACAGCTGTTTCGTCGTAGTATGGGACTCCCCAGCAGTGCGCACCCACGACCCTACCAGCAGGGACCGAACCCCTGACCTTCAGGTTCCGTGGCTAGCAGGTTACCATTGAGCCACTGGGTCAGAATCCAATGCTCCATATTTCCAACTTCTGTTAGCTCACGATATAGCGCAACCGCCACCCAATGTCATCGTTGAGTATTTGTCCTCATGGCCATCAGGCTTTGACTCCACCGGTCACGACTTGTCATTGGAACTTCTGATGGAACAAACTGATGTCAGTCTACGATGAATAACAACTTGAAATAATTCCAAATCTCCACAACTCCCTCAAAATAACAAGTATGTCAATAAATAGTAACAGTCTCTCTTGGTTGATTTAAACTTATTTCATTCAGCTCACCTCCTACCAATAATTATCGATGGTTAAGTTGTACAGATTTCCTAATTTTCAAATATTGGATGTCCTAATGATTACTGCACTTTTAAACTGTATGCAGCTGAAAAGTATTTGTGAATTCAAACGAAATCATTTGATTCCGAAAATTTTATCCTTCTTACTTGATTCAAACGTTTTACTAGATGCGCTAAAAATTTATATCAATGCGAAATTCAGCGTTTACCAAAAGAGATAAATATCTAGAATAAATTGTGTTAGAACCAAAAAAAAAGCATTTTATAAAAATATGTTTATCAATCTTTAGTAAAGAAACATATAGCATCATGTTTTCATCCGCTGAATAAGTTTATTTTGAATACCTTGAACGTTAAGCATACTTCTTAATATCTTTTGGTAAGAAATGTTCTTCAGAACCGTGTCTCAGTATCTGATCATATGATCTTGTATATTCAATGGCAGAAGGTGTTGGTGAACATCTTAATAATGTATGGTTAGTAATGATGAATAGTGGCTAGCAGTGGAATCCAGGATGCTCATTTCATCCTATTTGGGACTCGTCAGGTGGATATACCTGCTTCCCGGTGAGCGCTGTTGTTCCCATCGGAATTCGGATTCGGGGTGCTCGGTTCAAACGCTAGAGTGCTATCCACTACACAACAACAAAATCACTCATCGGGAAGTAGATGTATCCAGCTGACGAGCCCAAAATATGACGAAATGCTCATCCTAGATTCCACTGCTAGCCACCACTACCCATCATTACTACAGTTAGAGCACCAGTAATATCGAGGTATCTGCACAGGGTCCCATATGCCAATAGAGACCGATCAATTCGGTCCAATCAACGACGGTATGATATAAAAACAATTATACTAATGTATGATTACTTGTAGCTATCAAGAGAACTTGAATAATGAGCATACGTAACACGATGATAAAACCTTTAATCATATATAACTGTCAGTTTTTCGTTCAACATAAGAATGATTAGGAATAGTGAATGTCAACTGAAGTGTAATTGGTTGATTTAATTAGCATCATATTTCTTGAAATCCAGGTTCTGGGTTGTGTAATGAAAATTTTTGAAATAAACATACGTCAATGGTTAAGATTCCATTACAAACGAAATTTTTGATTCCGATTCACTTTTCTTCAACGAATACCATAAAACTTTATATATTTATACCCAATGAGTCATATAAGAATAAAGGCTCAAGCGGTAACAAATCTGTTTTAGGCGATATCATCCTCTACAGCTGATACAATCGAATTTGAATATAGTTAGTGTACATAAAAATGTAAATATTTACTAATCACGCAGTTGGTAGTTTGTCCCCATGAAAGTAATATAGGAGTGGGAATTCATCAATAAATATGAAAGTTCATATAAATAGTTCGACAAGTCCATGTGTGATCAGATTGTTCGAAATGTATAGTGCTAATACATCACATGTTTCAGATAATCTTCGTCTTCTCATTACGCTGTTTAAATATGGAAGTATTTAAAACAAGCAACAAGTGTGAAAAAAAGCAGGATTTAATGAATTCATAAATATCAGCAGTACTCGTCAGCTGGATACTCTACATACTTGATTATACACACCGTTAAGCAATGGAAAAGAGCATACACACATACATACATACCTATACAACGTAGACTGAGACAAATTTAGGTGTAACAACATAGAAGTGAATATTTTTCACAGGTCAAATGGTAATCCAGAGGATAGAAATAGATATTCAAGATTGTTGACATAGGGATGAGAACTGAATCGATTGAGCGTCGATCACGTCATTAAAAACAAGATAGTTAATAGTACTTATGCAGACAATAAGAAAACATGGTGTATATTGAGATGAATAATAATGATAACATTGGCAATAGGAATAAGGTTAATTAGATGGAGTAAATCAGGGAAGGAAAACAAATATGAGATGAGTGATAATTAATAGTGAAGAGTAAAATAAGAAAGACTAAATGTGATTAGACAATGTTGTAATTATTACCATGGCAGATTCAGGCTGACTACCATTTCTTTTTGAATGCAAAGGTTTGGTATGACAACTCGAATCGTGTAGGCTTCTACATATCCAAGCAGCTTTTTATTTTGCTGTCTAATGATAACTTTAAAGGACCTATAGGTATCAGTATCATGTCCATAGTCCATTAGGTGCTTCGTTATTGAGCTGCTCGGGGTCTTCTTTTCGGTATGCTTCAACCACTTAGATATGTATTCAACCATTCGGGTAGACAGACGCCTCTCTGTACGACCAATGTATTTGCTTCCGCAGGTACGTTCGAATTGATATATGCATTTAGATGTGTCGAGGATCGGAGTACTGTCTTTCCCTGATTGCTGCAATACCCTTTTGGTGGTGCTAAGAAGAACCAGTTTAGCTACGTAGTAAGTCCTTCTGATAGACTTCTCCAGTCTTCGTCTAACTACTTCTAGTACGTCGTACGGAGAGGCGTCTGTCTACCCGAATGGTTGAGCACATATCTAAGTAGTTGAAGCATACCGAAAAGAAGACCCCGAGCAGCTCAATAACGAAGCACCTAATGGACTATGGACATGATACTGATACCTATAGGTCCTTTAAAGTTATCATTAGACAGCAAAATAAAAAGCTGCTTGGATATGTAGAAGCCTACACGATTCGAGTTGTCATACCAAACCTTTGCATTCAAAAAGAAATGGTAGTCAGCCTGAATTTGCCATGGTAATAATTACAACATTGTCTAATCACATTTAGTCTTTCTTATTTTACTCTTCACTATTAATTATCACTCATCTCATATTTGTTTTCCTTCCCTGATTTACTCCATCTAATTAACCTTATTCCTATTGCCAATGTTATCATTATTATTCATCTCAATATACACCATGTTTTCTTATTGTCTGCATAAGTACTATTAACTATCTTGTTTTTAATGACGTGATCGACGCTCAATCGATTCAGTTCTCATCCCTATGTCAACAATCTTGAATATCTATTTCTATCCTCTGGATTACCATTTGACCTGTGAAAAATATTCACTTCTATGTTGTTACACCTAAATTTGTCTCAGTCTACGTTGTATAGGTATGTATGTATGTGTGTATGCTCTTTTCCATTGCT